AAGGAGCATATAAAGTCAGCATTAGTTGCCCTTTGCTATTATGAAAAAGTAAACAAATCACTAAAAAAAGAGGATAAAGAAGATAATATAATGTATTGTTATCACAGAAGTAAAATGCGTTCTTTTTTATCAGAAAATGATATAGATGATCATATATCTCAGTCAGCTTCAGAAATAGATAAAGACATTGAGGAAATATTAAGAAGAGGATCAAATTGGTGATTAGTTTGAATAGAAAAATTAAAAATTGAAGCTTATACATTACGACGAGCTACTAGTGGATCATATATCTTGACTCCAAAAAAGCTTGCCAATACTAAATATACTATTAATCCAGATAACTCTCAAATAGATGATGATATGTGTTTAAAATATGCTTTAGGTGCATACTTTGCAAGTAATAGAGGTAAAAATAAAAATTTACAATGTCTTTCTGTTCTTCAACCATATCTGGATATAGTCAATTTAGATGGAATTCCTATGCCTACTCCAATTTGCTCACGTATTTTTAATAAAATTGAGGAGATGAACCCAGATATCTCTATTAATATCTGTGAATGGAAAGAAGAAAAAGCTACTCCCAAACCAGTAATTGCTAGCAAGAACTATAATAGACAACATATTATTGACCTTATGGCTCTTACAGATATTACTAAATCTAAAGATGATAAGTATGGACAAAAAAATCACTTTCTTTGGATTAAAAATATAAATGGACTAGTTTTCAAAGATACTGCTCATCATGGTAAAAGATATATTTGTAAAAAATGTACTATAAGCTGGCCATCAGAAAAATCTTTAGCCTATCATCAAAAGCACTGTTTCGGTTTAGGAGAAGCAACCCAAAGAGTTAAATTACTTATCAAAGATGATAATGACTTTGAGAAGTTTAAGAACTATGGACGAATGATCAATGCTCCATGTGTTATTATAGCTGACTTTGAGGCTGATAATAAGAAATGCAATGAGAAATATGGAGGGCAAATGCGAAAGCTTGCTGAACAAAAAGCCAATAGCTTTTGCTACTTGGTTTACTGGATCGATAATAGAAATGTATGGGGCCCATTCCTATATAGAGGAGAAAATGCTACTCAGAAATTTGTTAAAAGAATTGATAAGGAATTAGTTCAAATTAATAGAGTCTTAGCTATAAAGCATGACCGAATTGAGACTGAAGAAGACAAGAAAAAATTTGCTAAAACAAATACCTGCTAGATATGTAAAGATAAATTCAATAGAGATAATAAAGATAAGGTTTGAGACCATTGTCATATAACAGATAAGTTTTGAGGACCTGCTCATAATGCTTGCAATCTCAAACTTCAGATTGAACCATGGAAAACTCCTATCCCAGTTGTCTTTCATAATTTTCGGGGCTATGACTCTCATTTAGTCTGTGAATCTGTTGGGAAATCTGTTAATGCTCATCAGATAAAAGTTATAGCTGAAATATTTGAGCGTTATAAATCTATGAAGGTAGGTCAACTTAAATATATAGATAGCATGCAATTCATGAATAATAGCTTGGCAAATCTTACAAAAAATTTGGGTTCCAATCACCCTATTACAAGCCAGCACTTTAAAGACTATTCTTTAGATCAAATTTCATTAGCAAGTCATAAAGGAGTTTATCCTTATGATTATATAGATTCTCAAGAAAGATTTAAGGAAACAGAGCTTCCTCCTATCCATGAGTTTCATAGTATTCTTAAAGGCAAGATTTCACAAGATGACTATTATCATGCCCAAAAAGTATGGAAAACTTTTGGTTGTAAGACTCTAGGAGAGTATCATAATCTCTATCTTAAGATTGATATACTTAGTCTTGCAAATATTTGGACCCAATTCTGAATGACATGTATGCAGTATTATGAGCTTGATCCTAGTCACTATGTTTCAGCACCTGCATTAGCTTGGGATGCTATGCTTAAGATGACAGGTGTTAAAATAGAGCTCTTTACAGATATGTCTATGTATGATTTTATAGAAGATGCTAAGCGTAGAGGTATAGCTATAGCCTGTAAGCGCTATTTCAAAGCCAATAATCCAAAAATAGGCAAGACATTTGATCTATCTAAACCCACAACATAGATTTCATATATCGATGCAAATAATCTTTATGCCTGGGCTATGAGTCAGTATTTGCTTATTGGTATTTGCGAACATTTTCCATAGTTTTGCTATATACTGAGTTATTCATGAGCTTAAAGAAATCTTTTTCAAAAGCATTCTTAGCACCTTGTCGCTTTTCTGTATTAAAAGCTATATAGGGTGCAAGCCAGTTAGTTTGATCAAAAGATAAGATTTCTATTACATTATCTACTATCATACTTAATTTTACATAGTATTGAAGCTCTAAGTAATGAATAACATATTCTTTTCATAAACTAAGATGAGGTACTAATTTTTCTGTAGCTGAGAAATGTCCACTATCTAAGTTATCTACAAGCTCTGTAGTATAATGACACAACATATCTTTACTTACAGCTATATTCTCTACAGCTGGAGGTAAATCACTTAAATAGTCATGAGTTTTTAGAGGAAAATGTGTATTAATCTTTAGAAAATATCCTCTTTTAGCATCTGCTTTAGTATTAAGAATCTTTTCAAGATATTTCTTTTGCTCATTTGAATTATCCTCAAGATATTTATGACTTACCTCCCATTTATAATTTCCAATAGGCAAAT